AAGAAAATTCAACTCAATCTGAATCGAAAAAAATCTTAATTCAACGAGTTTGATAGACCATATTAATCAGATTTCTCCGTCATTTTAATACGAGATAAATTAAAAAAAATTATGAGAGGTTTGATACTAATATTATAATTGAACCTTAATAATTAGCATTATTTAAGTCAAACATAAAAAGAAAATTTTGAACAAATGGCATGAGAGTGATTGTATGACGTGGCATGGTCATGCCAGGCGGCCAGGCGAAGCCATAAGCGAAATTGAAGTAAATATCTGACGTTACATGACACGTGTCAAACATACTTTAAGCCTACCCATTATTTGTGGGTCCCACTGGTATAAGTTCAAGACAAATTTCGCTTTGTCAAAGGTGCTGAGGTGGCTAACAACCTGTGAGTGACCAGTCCGTGTGCGTAATTTAATAAATGATCCACGTCAACGTGAATAGATTTTCCCCTTTTTTTTTTTTTTTTTTTTTTTTTTTTTTTTTTTTTTTTTTGATAAAAGATTTTTTTCCCTTAAAAATAATNTTTTTTTTTTTTTTTTTTTTTTTTTTTTTTTTTTTTATTTGGATAAAAGATTTTTTTCCCTTAAAAATAATAATAAAAGTTGTAACACAATTACTTTCGATTTAATATCTATACCAACAGAGTACACATTTCCTTTCGATAGCTCAATAACAGAAACTTCATAGTTAAAAACGTGCTTTAGACCTATTTGTGATCTAAAAATTTTCATATGTTACATGTGAATGAGAACAAAACATGTCGGAATGCTTTTTCTACCCGACCCATTTTGTCTTTTCATTTTTTATACCCGGCCCTCAGTTGTCTGTCTCGTGGTTTTAAAACAAGTCTACTAGGGAGATATTTTCACATTGTTATAAAACAATGTTTCGTTCCCTTCTCCAATCGATGTGGGATCCATCCTCCTTCATACTTTCTCAAATGCACGATAAACTATTATGATACGTAAGTAGAGTATTTATGGGTTTGATTAGAACTTACGTTTGTTAGATTCATTTCAACCGATAAAATTTTCATTTATTTGACTTAACCCAACTTAAATTGCACGAGTTTAATTGGGTTGATTGAATTTTTTCGGTTATCGAGTTTCTTTTAATACTCCTACATCTGTGTAAATAACAGGTATATAAATGAAAATGATTCTAAGAATACGATGATTAAGAAACACTTAATGAAACATTTGAACAATTTTATGTTCGGTGACCTATCGAGAATTTTCTGAGGAAGCATGTGAGTTACGGTAACAAATGTTATAATTTAATTATAAAAAATAAAATATAGGGAGAAAAAAAAAGGAAAATAATATTTTTAATTAAATACACAATTTTATTTTATTTTTTAAAATAGAATCCATAATAAATAACATTTATCTGAAAAAGGAAAATAATAATAATAATAATAAATTATTTTGAATGGTGGGAAGGGAATGATGAAGCATATATGTATTAAGGATAATGATAAATTACAAATTGTATAATTAAAGCTAAATCAAATTGAATGGAAATGAATGAAATAAGGAAATAAAGAATATATAAATGCTCTTTTAATTTAATTTTATTATATAGTTTTTTTTTTTAAAAAAATCTTAACAAATATGTGAATTGGAATCCAATCAAGCATTTGTATTCTATATTAAAGATAATATAAACTCACAATAAAGCATATAATATGAAAGTTTTCTAATGTTGCCATTAAGGCCTTGTCACATTTATTGATTTGACATAGACTAAACAATTTTTATGATTTATAATTTGGTATACCTACATATTTTAACATATTTTTAAATATAATTATAAAAATATTAAAGTGTTCGAAACTCGATGATCTGAAACATTGAGTTAGGTTGGATTGGTTGATGTGATGTCCCACGTTGGTTGGGGTGGAGAACAAACCACTATTTATATGGGTATGGAAATCTTTCCGTGGCAGACGCGTTTTAAAGCCTTGAGGGGTAGCGTGAAAGGAAAAGCCCAAAGAGAACAATATCTACTAGCAGTGGATCTGGGGCGTTATAGATGATAGCTAAGCTAGACACCCGACTATGTGTTAGCCTTCTCGCTGTGGGTGGATTTGGGGGCGGTCTTACATCGATGGGAGGAAGGAAAGAGTGTTAGCGAGGACGCTGGGCCCCGAAGAGGGGTGGATTGTGATATTCCACATTGGTTGGGGAGAAGAACAAACCACCATTTATAAGAAGGGTGTGGAAACCTTCCCCTTCCCCTCCCCTGGCAAACACGTTTTAAAGCCTTGAATGAAAGCCCAAAAAGAACAAAGGATGTTGGGCCTGAAGGGGGTGGATTGTGATGTCCCATATTGGTTGAGGGGAAGAACAAACCACAATTTTTCCCCTTCCCTTGGCAGACACGTTTTAAAGCCTTGAATGAAAGCCCAAAGAGGACAATATCAGTGGATCAGGGGTGGGTTGAACCGAACCAACTTGATATTCATGATATCATTCAACCTTTTGCTAATGTATTTTACCTGTGTTTGTCGGTAACTTTTCATACACTCGAATGAAAAAAAAAACTTGGTTGATAAATTTCAGTAAGCGGCTAACTCCAGTATTAACTTGGTTCATGAATTTAATGAAATATGAATGGGGATCAGGGGTGGGTTGAACCGAACCAACTTGATATTCATGATATCATTCAACCTTTTGCTAATGTATTTTACCTGTGTTTGTCGGTAACTTTTCATACACTCGAATGAAAAAAAAAACTTGGTTGATAAATTTCAGTAAGCGGCTAACTCCAGTATTAACTTGGTTCATGAATTTAATGAAATATGAATGACATGCATCGAGATACCTCCCGGCTCCAATAGCGTGAGTCTACGAGAATTCAATTTTTAATTTTATGAAAATATTGTCTACTTTGAAAGTAAGCTCTCATGACTTTGCTTTGGGCTTCCCAAAAGGCCTCACACCAATGAAGTTGGTATTCCTCACTTATAAACCCATGATCATTTCCTAAATTAGCCGATGTGGGACTTTCATCATCCAACAGTAAGAATTTTTTTTCGACGTTTTTTTTTAAAGTTTAATAGTATTATTAAAATTTTAAAAGTACTGAGATATTAAAAAAACTCGATGATTTTGAAAAACCTAATCAACCCAACGTAAGTGGTACGGTTTGAGTTAGGTTGGGTTGAGTTCAAATAAATGAAAGTTTTATTAATTAAGTTGGTTTATGAGTTTCGGTTAAACCTAACTAACCCGAATTTATTGTTAATGTTTTAAAAGTACAAAATTATGTATACATATATTTATTTAAATTAAATTAAATTAAATTTATTATTAATTTTTAGTATTTTATTATTTGATAATTCTTAAAAAAAAATGTCTAAAAAAAATTATGAATAATTACGTTATGTCTAAAAAAAATGTCTCAATTCAACCAAACTTGTTCGGTTAAAATGGAATCACGGCCGAGTCAAAAGTACAAAAGCCAGCTAAAAGATATATATTTATATATATTTTTTTAAATATTAAAGACAGAGAAAAATAGGTTAATATTAATAATAATTAATTTTAATTATTGATTATAATTATTAACTAATTTTTAGAAATTAATTGAAATTAGAACCACCAATTTGGAATGTGGTTCTACCAACTTTAGATTCAATTGAATAATATATTTTATGTACTTAATCCGAATATTTCAAATATTTAAATATTATGTACTCAATTTATATATATATATATATATATATATATATAATTTAATAACGGCACGATCTTAAAGATATAATATGTACCATGTAATTAATAAAGACAAAATATGTTGGAAAGACATGTTGGTCCGTGGTTGAATTGAATTTCGGGTTAGTTAGATTAGTAACTCGACAACTCAACTCAATTCATTAGTAAAGACAAAATATACGGGAAAGATTCAGTCGTGGTTGAATTGAATTTCGGGTTAGTTAGATTAGTAACTCGATCACTCAACTCAATTCAACCCAATTCGAAAATATATAAAACATTCCAAATCACAACGTATCATTAACATTGGTTATAAACGTCAAATATTATTAATATTCATAAAATTAAACTAGGGTTCCCTATTTTCTGATTGATTGAGTTGACCTGACTAAATAAATGTCAATTCATGAATCGACCTAAATTTTTTGTTTTTCGAAAACTTAACCCAATCTAAACAAAACAAAAATATAACCATCTAAGCTCACCGTTAGCAGATATTGTCTGTTTTGGTCTGTTACGTATCACCATTAATTTCACCATTTTAAAATGTGTTTACTAGGAGAGGTTTTTGTTCCCCTCTCCAACCAATGTGACATCTCATAGTTTACCCCCTTGGAGCCAGCGTCCTCGCTAGTACACCGCCCAGTGGTCTGACTCTAGTACCATTTGTACCAGTCCAAACTCACTACTAGCAGAGGTTTTCGTTCCCCTCTCCAACCAATGTGACATCTCATAGTTTACCCCCCTTGGAGCCAGCGTCCTCGCTAGTACACCGCCCAGTGGTCTGACTCTAGTACCATTTGTACCAGTCCAAACTCACTACTAGCAGATATTGCCCGTTTAGACATGTTACGTGTCGCAGTCAACTTCACGATTTTAAAACACGTCTACTAATAGATATTGTTTGGATTCAATAGTGTAAATTAGTCAATAACTAAAACTATTTAAATTTTTTCTAAACTTAAATTAAAAAAAAAATTATGGTGTAAAATAAATAGTAAAAAAAAATTCAGTTGAAAAAAGGATTTTTTTTTTTTTTAAATGTCAAAATTTACCGGCTGACAGAGACATTTTCAACTATTAATAAATAAAAGATTCTGTAATAATTAGCAAGTCATAAAAGAGACGGAATTACAATAATATATATATATCCAAGATAAAATTAATTTCCACGTGTCGTGATCTGATGCGATCTGAACCTGAAACTTGCTCGATGTTTAACGCTCCGACCCGTATAAATACCACCTTCTTCTTCTTCCCCAACTCACTCGATCGTGGTTTCTGTGTGAACAAAATCCATTCACCGGAGGCCGTTCTGTTCTTCTTCTTCGTTCCTTTAATTTCTTTCTCTTTCAAGAGCATTCCTCACAGGAACGCTTTTCTTCAAGTTTCTTCTCAGCTTCTGGTGAGGAGACCGGCCACTCTGCAACTTCTCTCGCTAAAGAGCTAATCGGTGAGTTATTCTGGTGGAGGCTTTGGTGTTGCGTTTTTCTTTTTTGTATCTGTTTCGAATTTGTGCCTTCCTCTGGTGTTGGGAGTGTTGATTGAACATACACGGAACTTGAGCTGCGGTTTTGCCAAGAATCTCTCTGTTCTTGCTCAGTTCAGATTTTGAAGGATTTCAAAATTGTGGCCGTCATTCTGTTGTTGATTTCGTAATTATGAACTGGTGATTTCGGTTCTGTGTTTGATTCCGAGTTTTCGTGTTCGAATCGAGCTTCAGGCGGCCGAGAGTAGTGAGATTGAGCCCTACGCGAACATCCTTTTCTTAGATCGTAGCTCAGATCTACCTTTCTCTGTGATTCTCAAGCGTTTTCCCCTAATTTCTTGCAGATCACGACGATTTGTGAGATTTTAATCTGATTATTCATGGACTTACTGAAATACCTCTCCCTCCAAAAAGTTACAATAGAACGGAAACCAAGAAATTTACAATCGGAACAGAACAACGCAAAAATAATTAGGTCTGAAATCGATGAGTTGGAGAGATTCAATCTTCTACGAGATGATCGAATTTGACGGCTTCTTGATTCTCTTTTGCGTATCTGTATTGTTCTCTGTGTTTGCACTTTTCCTTTTTGCATTTCACCCTCGCTTTCTTCCAAAGATGAATTTTATTGTTTTTCTCGCTTATCAATATCCTTGTATGAACGAATATTCTGTGTTTATGAATTTTTTTTTTTCTTCCCGCCCGGGTAACCGGAGTAAGCCAGCTAGCGTCGTCTCCCTTCACACGGCGGTGAAGGAAAAAATGAAATCCGTGTCTTCTTCTTCTTTCTTTCCTCCTTTTTTGTTGACCTTTTTCTCTCAACTAATAAAAATGTTTTTATTTCAAATATAATATTCCCTTGTATTTTTATTTTTATTTATGGTTTAACATTTTAAATGAGTTTAAATAAAACAAGTTTTTGTTTTTATTTAATATTTAAAATAATTAAACCAGATTATTTATGTTTTTATTTTTAATTTTTTTTAATCCTACATACATACATACATACATATATATATTATATTCCCAAATAGAGCTTATTGGTGAAATATTTTCAATTATGAATTATTTATTCTCTGCTGTTTGCTTACCATAAACCAGTTTGATTCTTCTCTCTTCGGCGGTAACGGGACTACGAACCTCCACAATTATATAATATTATCTATTTTGAATATAAACTTTTATGTTTTTGCTTTTGATTTCTCCAAACAAACAGAAAAAAAAACGGTATCAATGGAGATATATTCTTTATTTATAAACGTAGGATAAATCCCTTATAGACCCACGATCAACTTCTTGATTAGCGGAGGTAGAAAACTTTATGTGGGTGTTGGTGATGCCCAATGAAGAGGCAATCTTGATTTCTCTTATGACTTTTAGTTCAGACACTTGGGTTGAATTCTAACTTCTTATATATATATATATATATATTTAAATCCTTTCTGATTGGCTGATGATGATTTTCTATTTTAAACTCGTGCAGCGACTGTTTGGTGATCAACAATGACGATCACACCCAAGATTTCTATCAACGATGGCAACTTGGTGGTTCATGGGAAGACCATACTGACTGGCGTGCCTGACAACATTGTGCTGACTCCAGGATCAGGCCTTGGACTCGTTGCTGGCGCATTCATTGGTGCCACTGCTTCCAACAGTAAAAGTCTGCACGTTTTCCCTGTGGGTGTGTTAGAGTAAGTACAAGTAAAAACCCTCTTCGTAGGACTTCAAGTTTTACAGTACTGTGGGTGTTTTCAAGTTTTCAATTACTTGCCATTTATCGTTTTATAAGTTTCGAACAAATGATGTACTTTGTTTGAAGACTTCAGAGAAGGAGTTGAGCCTCGATTAAGGGGAGGCGGTTTGAAGGCTCAATAGGCCTCATGGGAGGCTCTATAATGTACTTTGTTCGAGGAGAGGATTGTTGAGAGGGAGTCACACATTGGCTAATATAGGGAATGATCGTGAGTTTATAAGTAAGGAACATATGTCCATTGGTATGAGGCCTCTTGGAGAAGTCTAAAGCAAAGCCATGAGAGCTTATGTTCAAAGTAGACAATATCATACCATTGTGAAGATTCGTGATTCTTAACATTTACTTTTGAAGTTCTGTTTGATCCTTGAGCTGAGTAGATTTAATAAGTAGCTATGGTATATAATTCATATGAACTATTCTAATTTCTGCCCCATTTCATATCAGGGGTCAGCGCTTCCTGTGTTGTTTTCGTTTCACGTTATGGTGGATGACACAGAGAATGGGAACATCTGGGAGAGACATCCCTTTTGAGACACAGTTCCTGCTTATGGAGAGCAAGGGAACCGAAGGGGAGGATCCTGATAATTCATCGACCATCTACACTGTCTTCCTTCCTCTTCTTGAAGGCCAATTCCGTGCTGCCCTGCAGGGCAATGAAAAGAATGAGATGGAGATTTGCCTCGAGAGCGGTGAGTAGATCATAATCAACAAACAATTATCATATGTTGTAGGATGCACACACACCCTGCTGTCTTATTTATTTGGTCTGTCACTTCCTACAATAGTTCCATCCTGGTGGACGGTAATGAAGAAGATATAACTTTCTGTTGGGGTGGAGCTGTCATTAATGAGAACCAACCTCGCTGGAGAAATCTTTTAATTACCATCACGGGAATGAATCAAATAATGGAGTTTTATAGCACTTGGAGGAGAATATAGGAAGGATCAAGTTACAAAGAAACGAAACGACCTGTTTTTGTTGGTGTTTGAATTGGTTTTGCAGGAGATAATTCTGTTGAGACAAACCAAGGACTTTCTCTTGTCTATATGCATGCTGGGACCAATCCCTTTGAAGTTATCAATCAAGCAGTGAAGTAAGTTTCCAAATAACTTGGGTTGTTTCGTTTTTTCTTTTTTACAGACACATGTAATGTTAATTTGATAATGATTAAATGATTATGACAGGGCTGTTGAAAAGCATATGCAAACTTTTCTACATCGAGAGAAGAAAAAGGTAGGAGAAAATCTTGTTTTGACAGTATAATTTTACTATGCTATTCTGTTCTTAGAGGCTCAATTGTGTTGTATTGTCTTTTGCAGTTACCTTCCTTCCTTGACTGGTTTGGTTGGTGTACTTGGGATGCTTTTTACACCGATGTCACCGCTGAGGGTATTATGGAAGGTCTCGAAAGGTGATAAAATTTTTAATACTGATATATTGGTGATGTTTGAGATTAAATTGCTAACATTTGGGGTGCTTGCAGCCTATCAGAGGGAGGGGCACCTCCAAAATTCTTGATCATAGATGATGGTTGGCAACAGATTGAGAGCAAACCAAAGGATGCTGATTGTGTTGTACAAGAAGGAGCACAGTAAGATATCTTTCTCTTATGAACTCTGTCTCACTATTTCGTTTTGTATTAGACTTGTGTGCATATCTCATCGAATCTATGTTGGGTTATTGGAAGAAAATTGGTTGATGAAATGAATTGTGATTATCTCAGTGGAACATTTTATAGTGGGGAATAAAACAATACATCTCCCATATTATATGCTGTTTTCTTTCTTTTGCCACTAATACACATTTTCCACCTAGATGTCACTCCGCTGTCCTTTATTGTTATAATCTGACAACACATAGGCTCATCGTTAGTAGATATTGTCTTTTTTGGACTTTTTCTTTCGAGTTTCCTCTCAAGGTTTTTAAAATGTGTCTGATAAGGAGAGGTTTCCATACCCTTATAACGAATTCTTCGTTCTCCTCTCTAACCGATGTGAGATTTCACAATTCACCCCCCTTCGGTGTCCACCGTCCTCGTTGGCATTCATTCCCTTCTCCAATCGATGTGAGACCCCCTCAAATCATCTCCTTTAGGGCCCGATGTCCTTGATGACACACCGCCTCATGTCCACCCCCCTTCGGGGCTCAGCCTCCTTGTTGACACATCGCCCGGTGTCTAACTCTGATACCATTTGTAACAGCCCAAGCCCACCGCTAGCAAATATTGTCCTCTTTAAGCTTTCCCTTTCAAGTTTCACCTCAAGATTTTTAAAACGCATCTACTAGAGAGAGATTTTCACACCCTTATAAACCATGCATGCTTCTTCCTTCTCTCTAATTGATGTGGAATCTCACTAACACACTACTAGTTTTTATGCTTGCATGAGGGTGAAGTTCATTTAATGATGGGATGCGTCCATATCTTGTTACAATATAGGTTATGGCTTGAGTTAGATCAAGCAATTGATTTCTTAATCACTTGATGACACTTCTTATTTGTGTAGGTTTGCGAGTAGGCTTTCAGGAATAAAAGAAAACCACAAGTTTCAGAAAAATGAGAAGAACAATGAGCAGCAAGTCCCAGGCCTGAAGGTGGTTGTTGATGATGCCAAGCAACAGCACAATGTGAAGTAAGTGTTCAATTGCTCTTGGGCCACAAATTTGAATTGGAAAAGCAAATTTCTAACCCATATATCATGCAGATTTGTGTATGCGTGGCATGCTTTAGCTGGTTATTGGGGTGGAGTGAAGCCAGCAGGTCCAGGGCTGGAGCACTATGAGTCTGCTTTGGCATACCCAGTCCAGTCACCGGGCATGTTGGGCAACCAACCAGACATAGTTGTAGACAGCCTTGCTGTTCATGGGATTGGCCTTGTTCATCCAAAGAAAGTCTTTAATTTCTATAACGAGCTTCATTCCTACTTGGCTTCATGTGGTATCGATGGTGTAAAGGTTGATGTGCAAAACATTATTGAGACCCTCGGTGCTGGTCATGGTGGTCGAGTTGCGCTTACTCGTAGCTACCATCAGGCCCTCGAAGCATCAATTGCTCGAAACTTTTCCGACAATGGTTGCATTGCCTGTATGTGCCACAACACCGATGGTCTCTACAGTGCCAAACAGACTGCGGTTATGAGAGCTTCTAATGACTATTACCCTCGTGATCCTGCCTCCCACACCATTCATATCTCTTCTGTAGCTTACAATTCTCTTTTCCTTGGAGAGTTCATGCAGCCTGACTGGGATATGTTCCATGTAAGAAACTTTCTGTGCATGAATTTGTTCTCTCTCGTGCCGATTACGAGTCGTTTTATGCCTCTAACTCATCTCATTTATCTTTGCTTTTCTTTTCAGAGTTTACATCCTACAGCAGAGTATCACGGAGCTGCTCGTGCGATTGGTGGATGTGCAATCTATGTCAGGTAGTTTATGTGCCTGACATGTTTTGTTGAGGATTGTTGGGAGAGGAATACATCTCCATTGGTACAAGGTCTTTTGGAGAAACCAAAAGTAAAGCCATTAGAGCTTATGCTCAAAGTGGACAATATCGTACCATTGTGGAGATACGTGGTTCCTAACATGTTTGTCTGCATTCGGTCCAAGTATGGTAATAGGAATGAATTAACTTTTTGTAATTTATCACAGTGACAAACCAGGCAACCACAACTTTGAGTTGTTGAAGAAGCTAGTCCTTCCTGATGGATCAGTTCTTCGTGCACAGTTACCTGGCCGACCGACACATGACTCTATGTTCAACGATCCAGCTAGAGATGGCACCAGGTTTGTTTTATATTCACTTTCCTTCCTCCTATTGTCTATTCTATTCACCTCTTGTAACGATCTAAGCCCACTACTAGCCGTTTTTAAAATGTGTCTGGTTTTTAGGATGAGGTTTCCACACCCTTATAAAGAAGGTTTCGTTTTCTTTCCCAATCAATATGGGATTTCACACCTCTCATTCCAGACAATTGGTGATAATAAGTGTTTTTTCCTCCTTTTTCCAGCCTGCTCAAAATTTGGAATATGAACAAGTGTTCTGGTGTTGTTGGAGTATTCAACTGCCAGGGTGCTGGTTGGTGCAGGATCACGAAGAAGACTCGCATTCACGACGAGTCTCCAGGTACCCTCACCACCTCTGTCCGTGCAGCCGATGTCGATGCTATTTCCCAAGTTGCCAGTGCCGATTGGAAGGGCGATTCTATCGTTTATGCTTATCGATCAGGTACTTGGATCATCAAGATTCATGAAAGACTTCTCTTTTATAGAACTGATAGAGAAATTGTTGAGGAGGGTTGGGAGCAAGTCCCACGTTAGCTAATTAAGGGGATGATCATAGGTTTATAAGTAAGGAATACATCTCTATGGGTAAGAGATCTTTTAGGGAAACCGAAAGCAAAACCACGAGAGTTTATGCTCAAAGTGGACAATATCATACCATTACGTAGAGTTCTGGTTCCTAACAGGAATTTAATTTGTTTTTTAGGAGAATTGACTCGATTGCCAAAAGGTGCCTCGGTTCCAGTGACCCTCAAAGCTCTAGAATATGATCTTTTCCATATTTCTCCTCTAAAGGTACACAACTTTCTTCACTCTATATCTCGTTTTTTTGTTTATCATCGCATTGTGTAGATTAACCAAAATGATGTTTTGATTTTCAGGACATCACCTCAAACATCTCATTTGCACCAATCGGTCTGCTCGACATGTTCAACATCGGCGGTGCCATCGAGCAAGTCGATGTCCAAGTGATCGAACCATTGCTAGAGTTCGACGGTGAAATTGCCTCCGAGCTAACCGGCTCTCTCCCCAATGATCGACCTCCAACAGCCACAATCACCTTGAAAACTCGAGGTTGTGGAAGGTTTGGTGTATACTCATCTCAACGACCTCTAAAATGCAGTGTGGACAAGACAGATACCGACTTTGTGTACGACGAGGCAACGGGATTAGTCACCTTCACCGTCCCTATCCCAACCGAGGAAATGTATAGATGGAGCATTGAAATTCAAGTTTAAGTGAATGTCTTTGTATGCTTAAGTTCATATTTTGCTAATGCTACCATATCATTTAATAATGGCGTAGGGAGAAGAGAGAGAGAAGGCAAGGAGGAAATTATAATGTGTCCATGTAATGAATATATGGTGGAAATGGTTGTAATCTAATTCTCTTTATGCAATAATAAATCTTTACTCTTTGCTACCTCTCTTATTTTACACTCCCTCGAACCTAAAATATAGGGTTACTGACCTATTGAAACGGTTTGAAACTCGTCAAGATATTTACACGAACACATTGTATTTAAAAATCTCAAGCTTAAAGTGACAAAAAATACCTTTGAATTTTGGCACCTAGAAAAAGATCGAGCTTCATGGTACCCAAAGATCAAGCACTAAGTATGTGTTCAAGCTCGGTTTGAGAACAATTTCTTGGTGTAGCAAAAGACAACCAATAGTATCATTGTCAACTATAGAAGCAGAGTATATAGCAGCTAAAGAAAATACATGATTGAAACTCTTAACCGGGAATTTACACTAGAAAATTGATTATTCAATATCACTTAATTGTGACAACCAACTGTGGCTCGCCTAGTAGAAAATTCGAGATTTTGTGCTAGAACAAAGCATGTGGAGGTGCATTACCATCTCATTAGAGAACGTCTTGACGAAAGAATACGAATGACCAACTGGCAAACTTGTTTACAAGAGGGCTTAATGATGACAAAGATCAAAAGTATTAATTGATATGAACCCCAACCCCAATCCAATCGCTTACATTTTCAATAAGAAATTGTGAAATATCCAATCATCCGTTGACACCGAGTACTACAGATATTTCCATGATGGTCTTTTAAAATCCAATGAGTTCTCTCGTGTCACTAACTTCCTACCAAACAGCGTGACAGGTCAATATCGTCATCTAGTTCAAACGAGGATCTAATTAAGAGTAGCTAACATTCATGTGATCAAACAGATGGAAACCCCATCGTTATTACTCAAATTTCATGTATGAATGAGAAAAACGAACGCTAAAAAAGAAGCCTCGATTGATTCGAGTAGCAACTTCATGTCAACATCTTTAACTTTATGTTATCGCTCATCTCTTTTGTGTTTCTAAATATATTCGAAAATTCAATTTCATTAATAAAAATTTTAGATTTAGATGAACTAAATTAAATTAAAGTATAAAAAATTCACAAATTTTAACAAAATTAGAAAGATATATATATATATATATATATATATTAATTAGCTATTTCCAACTCATCACCGACAAGAACTGACAGATGCTATTTTGTGTTTTTCATATATTTCTAAAATAGCACCAACTACTTGTCACGCACGACCTCACACTTAATCACACGCGCGCCGCCAAGAAATGAGAAAATTAAAATCGTACGTTCGAAAGCGCGAGTATATATTACTGTACTCTCGCGCGTGTGATTGAACTGGTTGTCATTGTCGTGTCGGTCACGCGGCTCCAAGAAGTCCTTGTCGAATTCTGTGAATTTCTGTAAGAAATAACCATTCGTGTTCTGCCACGTCACCACGTCCTTTGAAATTCATGCCTGGCTGTTTGAGTTGCACTGCCAGCTCACTGCCTCCATTAAACCTTCTTTAAAAGAAAATCATGATTATTTTCAAAAACATATTTATACGCATGAATATATATTTTATATATATATATATATATATAAATAATAGATAAAATCTTATCAATTTCAAATATCAAATATTTACTAATCACGACAGGTTGTTAACTTCAATTACAAATTTTAGATATTATTAAATTTTTTAAAAGGTAGGGTTTGGTTAGGTTGTAATCCTATTTTCGACCCGACAAAAATAAATATGAACTAGAAAATCGAACTGGGTTTTCGAATTTTCGAAACCAAACCGTTTATAGTTTGGGTTAAGTAGCCTAGATTAAAACTACTATACTAGTATATCTTTGATACAGTCATCGATTCTCCCGTCACAATTACCACGAGCAAAGAGATTGTTAAGTAGCCTAGATTACTGTTTATAGTTTGGGTTAAGTAGCCTAGGAATTATCGAGTCATATGAACATCTATAGTTAAAATAACATTTTGGTCAATCCTCTTATTTTGGCCCGTTACGTATGGTCGTCAGCCTCATGGTTTTACAATGTGTCTGCTAGGAGAGGTGTCTACACTCTTATAAGGAATGATTCATTCCCCTTTCCAACCAATATGGGATCTCACAATCCACTCTCCTTGCAGGCTTAGCATTCTCGCTAACACATCGCCCGATGTCTGGCTCTGATACTATTTGTAACAGCCTAAGTCCACCACTAGCAGATATTGTCTGCTTTGTCCTATTACGTATTGTTGTCAGCCTCACGATTTTACAACGTGTCTGCTAGGGAGAGATTTCCACACTCTTATAAGGAATGTTTCGTTCTCCAATCTAATCAAGTTGGGATCTCACAATAATTTATGTATTTTAAGAATAAATATTTATATATTTTAGTAATGAATTGGCTAGTCCCTATTATTAATGCTTATCCACGGGTTTTCATTACAAGCAATCCAAATAAAGCAAATTGTAGTAGTATTGTACGGACTGCCTTGTAATCTATACCTGTTCGGTCTTAATAAAGAATGTAAGTGATATAAACCAAGAGACATCAATTATACAAGATGCTTCAACAAAGATGGGAAGAAAATATTGTTGAAATTATCAAAAGATATTTCAATTCATGCCACATTGAAGAATAATGAAGTTTTATGTTATAAATTTTGGGTAGATTACAATTTGGAGTAATTTAAGTTATTGCATTTCATTTATGTATTTTAAGACTTTTTATTTACTATAGGTTACAATTACATTATGGCCATTACGTATGAATATTACAACTCTTGGAATGCCTTTAATAGTTTGATTTTGAGGCTATATAAAGTCATGTATGTTGTATGTGTAAGAGACTTGGAAAATATAGTAAAATAAGCATTTGTGCTCTTCTTTAGCCAATGGCTAAGTTTATTTGCAATTGTATGTAGTTTAGGTTGCATGTAGAATCATTCAAGCTCGACATGATCAATCTTGCTTGTGGAGTGATTCGAATCTCAAACAAGTGTTCTTGCCTTGAGATATTTGATCAACAAGAATCATTCAAGCTAGACGTGATCGATCTTGCTTTGGAGTGACTCGAATCTCAAACAATGTTTTTGCCTTGAGATATTCGATCAACAAGGTAATCCGAATCTTACTTCTCTTGTAGCGATTCCTTATCATATCAATAAGTGTTCAACAAAAGTGAAAGGTTATAAGATGTAGCAAGAGTTTAGAGAATTAGAGTTGACCAACGTGTTTTAGGGTTATAATGATATATGCAAGGGTGCGCATTCGAACTCCTACAAGAAAACGACCTCATTAACCCCTTATTTGTTTCATATATTGTAATAACCTAACATTCTGGGTTTAGAACGACTAAGGCCGGTACTACATGCATACTGAAAACAATTGAAAACCCGCAAAAAAAAAAAAAAAAAAAAAAAACTATCAGAGAAAATATTTTCTAAAAAATGTCGAGTATTAAAAATACCCAATAATTTACCCTATTGCTGTATTTATGACATGCAATCACGAACAAGACGATCTATGCTAACATAACTATAATGAAACTTACAACTTTCATATGCACGATTCAATCTCGATCGCTTTCATGTACACTAAATCCTCGAAGCATGCATCGTTTCATGCACTCTAGGACTCTCTATGTATGCATTACTTTCATATACACTGATTTACGTACATTACCGTCATGTATTTAAGGCTCTCAAATATGCAACACTTTCATGTCGTCAAAAGTTAAAAGAATAGAACTTGTTTCAATATTTCATGAATTTGATAATCGTACATATGCAAGAGGTCCCACATACAAAACATCAGTTTAATAACATGATACAACACAGAAGATTTTCATCGGCAAACATTACTTACTTTCATTCTCAATATATAACAATCGCGATCTTCACATGATTAACACTTCGCCATGCTAATCAAAGAAATACTATTTTGTCCTTGTTCGTCTTCCTTGAAGAACTCGACTCGCTTACTTCGAACTAAAAAGGCTCGTGTCTTTGTTGCTTGGTGTTTGAAAGGGTTCGAACTAACACAAAATTCAAGAAAAATTTAAACAAAATTAAATTCAAATGAGTCTCTAAAATAAACCTTAGCTTTACGACCGGTTTTGTCCATATAAAAATTATTTAATTTTTATTAATAGAGTACTAATAGTAAAAGATATATTTTTTTTTATTTTTTAAAAATTTTAAAAAATATGAATGAAAGTTTTTGAAGTTGATTTTTTTAAAACCAAAGATTTAATAGTAAATTATTTAGAGGTAAGGATATTTATTTTTTAAATATTTTTATTAAATTAAAAAAAAAAAAAAAAAAAAAAAAAGGGGAAAATTGAAGAATGAAGTTCATTTGGATGGTTGTTCTACAGTCCACTGAGCAGGGAGTATCAGAAAACCCAATCAAAATCAGACATTCAGATAAGAACAGGAAAAATGGTGAGAAAATTTCAATGAGAAGAAGTATTTGAAAAGAAAAGAGAAAAGTTTTCACCAAGAACACTGAGGGTGGATTGGATTGGATTGGATTGGATCGGATTGGATCTGTGTTGTCTCAGCGTCGGTGGCTTTTCTGTAACCTCTGACCCTTGGAATTCCTTCGATCTTCTTCTTCGACCATCACATCATTTTTTTAACGAATCCTCTGGATCTCCATTTTTCTCCTTCGAGATTGAGTTTCCATGAAGTAAACTCGAGTTGTTCCTTGTTCCTTGCTTGTTTTGCTTAGGATCGAGGAGGATCTTCGATTCAACCAGCACCCATGGAGGTCGATCCAAATTCTGGGGTAATGTAACCGTTTACTTGTTCTTACTTCTGTTTCTAACTCTATTTTCTGATCTGATGATGTCTGTTTCAATCTATAGAAATCGTCGAAACAGATTGGGGGCGGCCAGGTTTGTCAGATCTGCAGCGATTCCGTCGGCACGACGGCTGACGGCGAGCCGTTTGTTGCGTGTGATGTTTGTGCGTTTCCGGTTTGCCGTCCCTGTTACGAGTACGAGAGGAAAGACGGGAATCAGTCTTGCCCTCAATGCAAGACCAAATACAAGTGGCATAAAGGTTTTAATTCGATCCATCAACTATTTTAGTTAGATTTTCTTTCGTAGTTCTTGAACGATTAAAATGATGAGAGATTGAATCGATGGTAATGGGATGGATCGGTTTGTTCTTGGCCTTTAGGAAGTCCTCCGGTTCATGGAGAGGCAGTGGAAGATGGTGATGGTAATGGAACGGAAGGGGCGCAAGAAAGGCATCATAAGAAGCCAGAGCGCACGCTTAGCTGGGATACCAATTATGATAAGGAAGGATCGTTTAATCACATTCCTTTGCTCACCACTGGACGATCTGTAAGCTGTTCTTGCAGCTTAATTCACTTTATTCAATTTTGTTTCTGTTTGTTGGATTTGGAATTGAATTGGGTTGTTTTCTGGTGTTCTCTTTGCTCAAGGTTTCTGGAGAACTGTCTGCTGCATCTCCAGAGAGGCTCTCCATGGCATCGCCTGAAAGTGGGAGTCGCGGTAAGCTCATATGTTCGATATCTTGTGTCGTGTGATTTGTCGGTTAAGGAAGATTTCTTTTGTCATGATAGTTATGTCGATATTTGTTTGATAATTGGCAGCTAACTATAGAATCATGGATCAATCGAGAGACTCGGGATCGGCTAGGTTTGGCAATGTAGCTTGGAAAGAGAGGATAGATAGTTGGAAGGTGAAGCAGGACAAGAGTGTGCCGCCGATGAGTGTTAGTCATGCTCCTTCGGAAGGGAGGGGTGGTGCTGATTTTGATGCTAGCACTGATGTCATGATCGATGATTCTTTACTGTAAGTGCTTCACTTTGTCTCTTGTTTTTTTTGTATTTTATACCATTTCTTAGCTTTCAACTGTTGAATTGCACTTCGTAAGAGTAACATGTTTTTGTGAACTCCAACCTCATATAAATGGTGGAATCAAATTGATTTTGACATTAAGTATTAGATCCTCTGTCTGGAGTCATGAAAAGAACAGGTTCAAAATTACGATCAACTCCTTTTTCTAATCCTACAACAGCTGCACGAGCCTTTCCCATAAATGACCTACGAATAGGAAGAATCCTAGAACAAAATGAGAGGTAGCTAACCAACTTCTAGGAGAGACATAATTGACTGCATTAATTTCGGTAGCTACGCCACCCACGGAATTTAAAGAACCTAAAGGAGCATGGGTCATATATTCCGCGGAACGTCGTTCTTGCCAAGGTTGTATGTCTTTTTTTCAGCCTAATCAAGTCCAAACCATTAGGACCCCTTAGTGGTTCTAACCAAGGAGCACGCAGATCCCAAAAACACCTAGTCTCTCCTCGAAAAATGACTTCTCCGGTCAAAAACAAGAAAAAACTTAATTTCAGCCATGTTTGAAACTGTCATATTGTTTTCATAAAATTTCTGGTTTTCTATCGTCTCTTTTCTGAAGAATAATATGTTCTATATATCTCGAAGTTTCAACTTAGCGAACGGATATTATGTTTTCAACTCAGGTAGCATCAATCTGTGTTAATGGAATTCAACCAATCAACCTTTCCACTCATAAATTTCTTGCTTTCTTACAGATATTTGTGCGTTGTACGAGAATAATCTGCTAAACATTACTCATTTGTTGGCATTGCAGGAATGACGAAGCTCGTCAGCCTCTATCGAGGAAGGTTTCTATTCCGTCCTCTAGGATTAACCCTTATAGGATGGTCATAGTTCTGCGGCTTATTATTCTTTGCATCTTCTTGCACTACCGAATTACAAATCCAGTTCCGAATGCCTTTGCTCTGTGGTTAATATCAGTGATTTGTGAGATATGGTTTGCTGTATCTTGGATTTTGGATCAGTTCCCCAAATGGCTTCCGGTCAACCGGGAGACATATCTTGATAGGCTTGCTCTACGGTAACGTTCTAGCTTTCATTATGAGCAATGTTCATTTTGATGTTTGCCTAACCTTCAAATACTTATGGTTTGCAGATATGATCGTGAAGGAGAGCCGTCTCAGTTGGCTGCTGTCGACATATTTGTCAGTACTGTCGACCCTCTGAAAGAACCTCCCCTTGTCACAGCCAATACGGTCCTATCGATTCTCTCTGTGGACTATCCAGTCGATAAAGTTTCTTGCTATGTATCAGATGACGGAGCTGCTATGTTAACATTTGAAGCTTTGTCCGAAACATCAGAATTTGCAAGAAAATGGGTTCCCTTCTCCAAGAAGTACAGCATTGAGCCACGAGCACCCGAATGGTATTTTTCTCAAAAGATCGATTACTTAAAGGACAAGGTTCATCCATCATTCGTGAAGGATCGGAGGGCGATGAAGGTAGTAACTCCAGATTCCTCTATATCATTTTCTTTCATAAAAGTTAATTTATCATCTCCATAGTTGACTGTGCTTTTGTTTTACAGAGAGAATACGAGGAGTTCAAAATTCGTATCAATGGACTCGTTGCTAAGGCACAGAAAGTTCCTGATGAAGGGTGGGTCATGCAAGACGGTACGCCATGGCCGGGAAATAACACTAGAGATCATCCAGGAATGATACAGGTCTGTACAGTGTCTGTGTCTGCTTCTTCATTGTTGCTTCCTACTTTAATATATTCTCTTTTTGTTTCTTCAATATAAATCTTCAGGTTTTCTTAGGCCACAGTGGAGGACTCGATACTGAGGGTAACGAGCTCCCACGTCTGGTTTATGTTTCTCGTGAGAAGCGTCCTGGTTTCCAACATCACAAAAAGGCTGGTGCTATGAATGCTCTTGTGAGTAAATGGCTCTAGAAAATTTCTATACTCTTCTGGACTTTTATATCTTTCTTTGAATGATCGAGCACCTGTATACAGGTTCGGGTATCTGCCGTGCTTACCAATGGACCCTTCTTGTTAAATCTTGATTGTGATCACTACATAAACAACAGTAAAGCGTTGCGGGAAGCTATGTGTTTTATGATGGATCCTAACCTTGGAAAATCAGTTTGCTACGTTCAGTTTCCACAGAGGTTTGATGGGATTGATAGAAATGATCGATATGCTAACCGAAACACTGTTTTCTTTGATGTAAGTTTTGTTTACCCGTCTTCGTCTAGATTATCTTCAGTGGCTGCTTGAAATTAATGTAGAATTTATTAAAATTTTATGTGGGTTATATAGATCAATCTTCGAGGCTTGGACGGTATTCAAGGTCCAGTTTATGTGGGAACGGGATGTGTTTTCAATCGAACTGCGTTGTATGGCTATGAGCCCCCTCTCAAGCCCAAGCATAAAAAACCAGGGCTATTCTCGAGTTGCTTTGGGAAGTCGAAAAAGAAAAGTTCTAAATCAAAAAGAAAAGATTCTGATAAGAAGCAAACGAGTAAAAATGTCGATCCCACTGTGCCAATATTCAACCTCGAGGATATTGAGGAAGGAGTTGAAGGTAAGTAACTCCAGTTTTCAAGTGTTTATCTTCAAGGAAGCAACCTAACATTTTAGCTTGTATCTTGAAATGGAGGTGTTAATGTCCATACATCATTCGATGCAGGTGCCGGGTTTGATGACGAGAAATCGCTGCTAATGTCGCAAATGAGCCTGGAGAAGAGGTTCGGTCAATCGGCTGTATTTGTTGCTTCCACGCTAATGGAGAACGGTGGCGTGCCGCAGTCTGCCACTCCGGAATCTCTCCTTAAAGAAGCAATTCATGTCATCAGTTGTGGATACGAGGATAAAACAGACTGGGGAAGTGAAGTATGAATCTATCTCCCTCTAAGACCATTAATTTATGTTGCATTTTCTATTTGCTACGAGACGACATAACATTTGCACGACTAAGTGATGTTTAACTTTGGTGGTGCAGATCGGATGGATCTACGGTTCGGTCACAGAAGATATTTTGACAGGGTTCAAGATGCACGCCCGTGGTTGGAGATCGATCTATTGCATACCGGACCGTCCTGCATTTAAAGGGTCTGCTCCCATTAATCTTTCTGATCGTCTTAACCAAGTGCTTCGGTGGGCGTTAGGTTCGGTTGAAATTCTCTTCAGTCGGCATTGTCCTATGTGGTACGGTTATGGTGGACGGTTGAAATGGCTCGAGCGATTTGCTTATGTTAACACTACCATTTACCCAATAACATCGATTCCTCTTCTTGCCTATTGTACCTTACCTGCAATATGTCTGCTCACTGGAAAGTTCATCATTCCTCAGGTAAAAAGAATCATATTTTTCCTACACAAACGTATTGGCTTTTGCTCGCTCGAGTATCACTGAAACGACGAACATATTCTTTGTTGTTTGTTCTTCTTTCATTACAGATCAGTAATCTTGCCAGCATCTGGTTCATTTCGCTCTTTCTTTCCATCTTTGCTACTGGTATTCTGGAAATGAGATGGAGCGGTGTCGGGATCGATGAATGGTGGAGAAACGAGCAGTTCTGGGTTATCGGAGGTGTGTCGGCCCATCTGTTTGCTGTGTTCCAAGGTCTTCTTAAAGTTCTTGCTGGGATTGATACCAACTTCACGGTTACTTCAAAAGCATCTGATGAAGATGGAGATTTTGCTGAGCTCTACTTGTTCAAGTGGACAACTCTTCTCATTCCCCCAACTACTCTCCTTATTATCAACATAGTAGGAGTTGTTGCTGGAATTTCTTATGCCATTAACAGTGGCTATCAATCTTGGGGTCCCCTTTTCGGCAAACTGTTCTTCGCGTTCTGGGTGATTATTCATCTCTATCCCTTCCTCAAGGGTCTGATGGGTCGCCAGAACCGAACTCCCACGATCGTGGTTGTCTGGTCCATCCTCCTTGCCTCAATCTTCTCCCTTTTATGGGTTCGGATCGATCCCTTCACAACTCGGGTAACTGGTCCTGACGTTGAACAATGTGGAATCAACTGCTAAAGAGTATTGAACAAAGCAACACACTCGAACTGGAATATCGAAGTAATGCAGGTACGTACGATCCTAGCTTATCGATCGACAACGTGTTTATTTAAGTTTATTTGGTGCTGTGTTTGAGAGATAGATTGCAGAGGTTGATGATGATCCTCTTCAAATTTTTTGGTCTTCCCCCTTGGTGTTCTTTGTATGTACAAACTTGTTATTCTTTCTTCCCATTATTTAAGGCTTCTTGTGTACTTTTGTAAGCTTTATATTGAAAGAAATGATATTGGGAAGTGTTTTAATTAAAGCAGCAAATGAAAGTGAAAGAAAAAGCCCAAAAGTTCCTTCAAAAGTGAAGATAGTTTGAATTTTGTTGCTTAATCACTTTACAAACGGCCATTGTTGAAGACTTTTAAATATTGAATATGCTTATTTGTGGGACTTCTCATATTCAATATTCAAAAGTGCATTCGGAGTAGACATTTTTTTTAAAGTTCAATGACCGGTTATATGTTCTTTAAAGCTACTTTGTTGTAAAAGAAGCAAATTGTCGTGAGATTTCACATCGATTAGAGAGGGAGACGAGCGTCAGTAAGAATGCTGGATCTTAAACAGTGGTGAATTATGAGATCGCACATCGGTTGGATTCCCTAACATACGAGGAACGATTGAAAGGGGGCTAACAGATGTGTTTCAAAATTTTTTGAGGGAAGTGAAGGATTAAAGAGGACAAGTTACGCCACACACAAACCGTAATAAAGGGTGTCCCCTAATAATAAACTAACCGATTGACCTGATTCATGACCGTTTGTTCTTATGATTTGGTATAGAGTAGACATTTTTTAAAAAAATTCAATGACCCATTATACACTTTTTAAAGTTACCCTATACAAACGGTAAACGAAGCAAATGGTCGGAAAAAATTAGCTACGTTCAAAGACTGTCTCCAATAAACCAACCAATTGACCTGTTTCCATGACCGTTTGTTCTTTCGATTCGGTTCGGTTCGATTTTGATTGCACATAGAATAATGGCAAGTGCATCAATGGTACCTTGTAGCATAAACAGGGAAATCTTGTCCAAAGGAATAAACCAAGAAAAACAGCTTTTCCAAGAGTGGGACCCTTCTCTCCCAAAGTTTTCCCCTTTTTCTCTCATTTATACTATTTTCTTAATTTTTTTTTTAATTTTTTCAATAAGTTCTACTTTAATTAATTAATTAATTTTTAATTAGTTGTTGACTAAGTTATTAAATAAATGATAGCATCATTAGTTTTTGAAAGTTTCTAATTTAATTTATTTAATATATTAAAAAATCATTTTAATTCTTTTCCATTTTATTCTATTTTTGTCCCTATATTTAAATAAATATTAATTTTTATTTTTATTAAAATTACTTCAATAATAATAGTCTTTATTCATTATTTTACCATAAAAATGTTAATACAAATTATTTTTGGCTAAATTTAGTAGAGATATATATGAGCTACATCTTCGTTAATAGCTAAAATCTCATTCCATTCAAATATTACGCCTCCCATTAATTGAGGCTCGACTCCTTTGGAGTCTTAGTCATTTTTTACGGCCATCGTGGAGGCTTGACTTCTTTTCTTTTGGAGTCTTTTGTTCGACATTTGAGGATTTACCAAACTATTGACACCACTAAGTTTAGGGTATGACTCTAATACCATGTTAAACGAACACGACTCTCTACAATGGTATAATATTGTCCACTTTAAGTATAAGATCTTATGGCTTTGCTTTGGGCTTCCCAAAACACCTCTTAACAATGAAGAGAGTTTTCTTTGTTTATAAACTCATGATCATTCCCTAAATTAGCAGATGTAGACTTTCATCATCCAACGCCACTATTAAATATTTTTAATATTTTCAAATGTAGGGTAAGATTGGGTTGGGTTGTAATCCTATTCTCGGGTCAGTCGAGTTAACCCGACCTAAACAAATGTTCCGACTTTCAAACAATTTAACCCAATCCAAATAAAAAATAAATAAATCTAACCCTGAATTGGATTGAGTAGCCTAAATTGATCGAGCTATCCGATCATATAAACACATCGTTAGAGGCAAAATTAAAGAAAAATGGGAAGTAATTAAGAGCAAAGCACATATAGAGTCATTTCCTTTTAGTTCCCTTTGGCTACAAATAGACACATAATCTACCTGCCTCACTTCTTCTCATCCGCCGCTTCCGAAGGCGGCGGCGGCGGCAGCGGTGGAGTAGCGACGCCGCCGTCAATGCAGCTCCTGCACGTTCTTTCTACCCAACCTTCAATGTCATTTTCTCCGTCACCACCGCCGCCGGAATGGTTTCCGCCGCAGAAGCGAGCCAAGATTCGAGCAATGACACCCAAAATTATGATGACTGCCAGCACCACCACCAGGGTCTGGATGGACTGAACAGAGTGGGAGGGCTCAGTCGCCGTCGCCGGAGTTGGGTCCGGCAGCGGCTGCATTTGATTTGCTGGTGTTGCCCACATTTAGGAATGATTGAACTCTTCTGAAGCTCTGCAACGGATACATAAAAAGAATGAACAGCAGAGGTTGAAGAAAGGTGAAATTTTATGCTTACTAGTGGATGCCCTAAAATAATAATAATAATATTATTAATAAATAAATAAATAATAAAAAATAAAAACGGTCATTTTTAAGGTTTTGTTTATTATGTCTGAAAATAAGATACTTCAACAAAAAAAAAAAAAAAATCTTTAATTAAAAAATATATGTTTGAGATTTAATTTTAATAATTTTATTAAGAGTTTTAATCAATTAAATGTTATTATAATTTTTATTCATTTATAAATATATTCACTATTGCAAACAATTATAAAAAAAAAAAAAACTCAATATTCGTTTAATGATGTAATTTTCAAATATACGGAAACTTTAACCCTAATGAGTCACGAACTTTCACTTTTACGTTTAAATTTTATTTTTAAATTTTTTATCTAATAAGTTATTAAAATTTTAATTATCTTTCGAGTATATCTTATTTACAAAGTCGAATAAAATTAAAAAATTTTAAAAATATTGATGATCTTGAAGTTTGAAGGATCTCATTGTCTACTGGTTTAACGTAAAATTAAAAGTTTAAAGATTTATTTACCCGATATTTTAATAATTTAAACTCAAATTAATAATGGTATAAATTTAAGAATTAGTTTATATTATTTGTGAGTGATTGAAAAAAAATTACGTAAATTTATTTAAAATAACCTAAAAGTAAGAATTAATCTGGGCCTGAACTAGATTTGGGCCAGAAAATCCCATTGAATTATGGGCCAGACTTTTTGGGCCTAGTTTAATTGGGCTAACTCACTATCTTTTAATGGGCTGGACTGGTTCGGATTCTTAAGATTTGGGCCGAAAGCGGTTCATTCTAAATCTGTATCCAAACACCACCAAAAGTGAACCTATCAAATCTTAACTCGCAGTAGCCCCGTGTATAAATTTCTTCATTAGGGTTTTTATCCTCTTCATACACTCTCCAAGTTACAATCTCTACCCCCAGTTTCTCTTGCAGCTGCGCAAACCCTAATCATGGCTGAAAGAGGAGGAGACCGAGGCGGCTTCGGCAGAGGATTTGGCGGTAGAGGCCGGGGTGGCGACCGTGGCCGTGGACGACGTCGTGCAGGGCGCCGTGATGAAGAGGAAAAATGGGTTCCAGTCACCAAGCTTGGGCGTCTTGTGAAGGAAGGTAAGATTCAATCACTTGAGCAGATTTACCTTCACTCTCTCCCAATCAAGGAGCACCAGATCGTCGATACTCTCATCGGCCCCAGCCTCAAGGATGAGGTCATGAAGATCATGCCCGTGCAGAAACAGACCCGGGCCGGACAGAGGACTAGGTTTAAGGCCTTCGTTGTCGTTGGCGACGGCAATGGCCATGTCGGATTGGGAGTTAAGTGTAGCAAGGAGGTGGCGACTGCTATTCGTGGCTCGATTATATTGGCTAAGTTGTCGGTGATCCCTGTTAGGAGGGGTTATTGGGGTAACAAGATTGGAAAGCCACATACTGTTCCTTGCAAGGTCACTGGTAAGTGTGGCTCTGTCACTGTACGTATGGTCCCTGCTCCTCGTGGTGCTGGTATTGTCGCTGCACGGGTTCCCAAGAAGGTGCTTCAGTTTGCTGGTATTGATGATGTTTTCACTTCTTCCCGAGGATCGACTAAGACACTTGGAAACTTCGTGAAGGTATATCATAATATGATGCAATATCCATCTCATCTGTTATGCTAAGTATATGACTGAAATTTAAGGTGTCCATTATTACAATTTAGATTCGTAATCAGTCGAACCTTATGAAATTTTAAGTAGTAGTCTACCCATGGTTTGTTGTAGATATTTTAATGATCTGGGATGTTCTTTCTTTGGATTCTTCTCTTTGTTTGTTCATCCGTTTTATGATTTTAGATACGTGTGTGATTTGTAAATGCTTGACAGTTTATGAGTAATTAAATTCATGTGTGAAGTTTAGATGTAACTTTTGATGTGTTTAGATTAGAGAACATCAAATATTTCTTATGATTAAATGGCATGGAATTGGTTGCTCGTGAAATTGTATGCATATGTTTGTGAAAAGCCATCGATAAAGATTGTTCTTTTCTAAAATGGGTTGATTGATTACTTTGCTATTTTTGATGTTGAACTCTAACTATATAACGTTCCATCTGTGTCGTTCTAATTGTTTCCATTTTGGCAGGCTACCTTCGATTGTCTATTGAAAACCTATGGTTTCCTCACACCTGAGTTCTGGAAGGAGACTCGTTTCACGAAATCGCCATTCCAAGAGCACACCGATCTGTTGGCAAAACCGACCGTGAAGGCATTGTTGTTGGACGATGCCGAGAGGGTCAATGCTTAAGTCACTTGGAGATATGGGGTATGTTTTCAAAAAAAGAGAAGAATGTTTTTGTTAGGAACTTCATAGTTTATGCTTTCTGTTGAGTTCTTTTACATTCATGGATAGTGTTCTATCTGATTCTTATTGGTACTTTGAACTGTGTTGTTTTGTTTCTGTATCCAATGGCATAACGCTTGATTTTGAATGCATCAATCGCTTACAATAGAATCAAAGCTAAGAAGAATGTTACCATGGAAATTAAGAACTTTGGAACGATGTATTATTTATTATTTAAAGTATAATGATGAATTTAATTAAACTCAAGAAGAAAATATAGTTTAATGATTATTAGAGCCAAATTTAATTTTAGTCTTGCTAAAATGTTTCCTTTATTTTTTTTTTCACCTTTATTGAATAATTTTTAGCTTTTTTCTTTTGTTCTTTTAATCTTTAAAATTTCTCACATTTCTTTTTTTTTTCCCTCTATTTTTCAATATAAAAAATTCTTGTGAGGATTTTCAAAATAGTTTCTTATTTTTATATTTTAAGATGTTTTTTTTTTAAAAGTTATGATATGTAAGGAGAAGAGTAGAATTGATGAAATTGAATTGGTAGATGATCTTAGATATTTTACCCCTCGAAAGATGAGGGAGTGAGAATTCTCGATGAAATTATATTATCCGTGTTAGACGAACACGACTCTCCACAATGGTATGATGAGAATTCTGAATGACTCCACAATGGTATGATATTGTCCACTTTGAGTATAAGCTCTCATGGCTTTGCTTTGGGCTTCCTAAAAGGTCTCATACAAGTTAGTATTCCTCACTTATAAACCCATGACCATTCCCTAAATTAACCGATGTGGGACTTTCATCATCCAACACCTCCCCTCGAACAAAGCACGCCTTCCCTTAATCGAGGCTCGACTCCTTTGGAGTCTTAGTCATTTTTGATTGCCTACGTACCTTCGAGGAGGCTTGACTCCTTTTGGAGTCCTTTGTTCGACATTTAAGGATTTGCCAATCTATTGGCATGGCTAAGTTTAGGACACGGCTCTGATACCATGTTAGACGAACACGACTCTCCATAATGGTATGATATTGTCCACTTTGAGCATAAGCTCTCATAGCTTTGCTTTGGGCTTCCCAAAAGGCCTTATACCAATGGAGTTAGTATTCCTCACTTATAAACTCATGACCATTCCCTAAATTAACCGATGTGGGACTTTCATCCTCCAACAATCCGTTCATGAAGTCAGCGACAGATTATATTATCCGTTCCCATCTTCAACCAATTTTTGCCGCCAATCTTGTTTAATAATATATCGATAAATGAATCGATTGAAATTTAATAAGTATTTTTTAAATGTGTAATAATAATGTGTTTTTAACTTTTTAAAAGAATTTAAAGACATTTTTTAAACAAAATACGGTAATTTTTGAATTTTCCGAATTTCTTTTCCTTATTGTTCCACTAAAATTTCTGTAATCTGAATCATAAATTTGGGGAAGGGTCAAATAAAAAAATTCTCAATTGACTCTTCCTCTGAAGCTTTTCGTTTTCGCGTTCCTCTCAATCTGCGGAAACTTAAAGCTTCAGACACATTTCATTTTCAATTCAGATTCTAAGTTTCTGGCAATTAATCTCGGAATCTCTATCTACTCTTCTTCTCTTCGCTTTTTAATCTCGTGTTTCCCTCCAGAATTTCACGATCTTCTCCCCTCTCTTGTTCATTCCGGTTTCGATTTGGGGATGGGAACCCCGGAATTCCCTAATCTCGGGAAGCATTGCAACTTGGAAGATTGTAAGCAGATCGATTTCTTGCCCTTTACTTGCGATTGCTGTCGCCAGGTTCCTGAATCTCTCTGTTCCATTTTGAAATTTTTATATGAATCTGTGTGTTGGCTTGTTTGAGTTGGTTCTTTTGATGAATTCTTGTTGTTATTGAGAAATTTATGTTTGGTTTCACTTGGATTATGATCGAATGGTTCTCTCTATTGGATATCAACAGAATTTTGCTCTTCTGCTTATCCGATGCGTGGAGGATTCTTTTTTTACTTTAAGAATGAAGCATTTATTGTTTTTATTGTTCTACTATTATGACACACACGAATCTGTAAATGAAATTAATGGAGAACTTTTTCAATGTATTATTCTTGAATCATTAGAATTTGGATTCAGGTTTTGTGTTTTGGTCTCTTATAAACCCTTCGGATGTTTGAAGCTTGAGGGGTTTTTTTCTGAGTATCCTTGATTGATAGACTTTTCTTTTTCGATTGCCATGGGAAGATCTCCGTTTATGATTTGATACCGATTGATCAGCTTATGATCAGGATTTCATATCTTCAAGAATAAAGCTAGACATCGGGCGATTTGCTAGCGAGGAGGCTGAACCTTGAAGGAGGTGGACACGAGGCGGTGTGCCAGCAAGGACGCTGGGCCTCAAAAGGGGTAGATTGGAGAGTCCCACATCGATTGGAGAAGGGAGCGAGTGCTAGTGGAGGACAAAGGGGGTGGAATTTGAGATCCCACATCGGTTGGGTAGGAGAGGGAAGTATTCTTTATAAGAGTGTGGAAACCTCTTCCTAGCAGACGTGTTTTAAAAACCTTGAAGGGAAGCTTAGAGAGGACAATATCTACTAGCGGTGGGCTTGAGTGGTTACAAGTGGTATCAAAGTCAGACATCGAGCAACGTGCAAGGACGTCAAGCCTCGAAGGGGGATGGGTTAGGGGGTTCCACATTGATGGGAGAAAAGAACAAGTGCTAGCAAGACGTTGGGCCCCAAAAGGGGGAGTGGACTGTGAGATCCTACATCAGTTGGGGAGGAGAACGAAGCATTCTGGATAAGGGTATGGAAACCTTTTCTTAACAGACACGTTTTAAAAACCTTGAGGGAAAGCCTAGAAGGAAAAATTCAAAGAGGACAATATCTGTTAGCGGTAGGCTTGGGCCGTTACGTACTAATGCATTGTTTTGTCCATTTTACCTCTTGAAACTTATCTCTGAACCATTTAAGCACACCAGTTGATGCATGTTATAGTTCAATGCTAATTGTAAGAATCTTTTTTCCAAGGGTTTCATTTATGGCTAAAATTTGGGTTTCTGCAAGTTCTGTTGCATATGAACCCTGAATACCATTTGTGTTATGATAAAATAAATTCCTTCTGAGAGTAAACTGAATGTGCCATTTCATTTTAATAGAAAAAATAACCGAGTTTCGTTAGCTAATGTTCATGTAATATCTGGTTTGATTTAGGTCTTTTGTTTGGAGCATCGTAGCTACAAAAGACATAGTTGTCCGAAAACAGATAGACGGGATGTCACCGTTGTCATTTGTCCGCTATGTGCCAAAGGAGTTCGTCTCGTCCCAGATCAAGATCCCAACATTACATGGGAGATACATGTAAACACTGAATGTGACCCATCAAATTATGAAAAAGTCACAAAGAAGAAAAAATGTCCTGTGCCTGGCTGTAGGGAGTCGTTAACGTTTTCAAACACGATCAAGTGTCGGGACTGCTCGGTAGACCATTGTTTGAAACACCGTTTTGGTCTCGACCATAAGTGTCCTGGTCCGAAAAAACCCGAACCAGCAGGCTTTCCATTTGTTGGTGTTTTAAGTAGAAGTAAACAAGAAGAGAATGGGCCTAAGAAAGCATTGCCTACCACAGCTTCCTCTAATTGGACTACAGCCCTCCTTAATGTAGCCTCATCTTTTAAAGCCTCATGGATAGCAACAGGCAACAACAGCAATGGAAATGGACATGTTGAGCAATGTCCACAATGTAGTGCTAAGTTTTCGTTGGTTTTGTCTCTAGTCGAGCATATAAAAAAAGTCCATGAAAGCGGTGCCAATCGACCTGGGGCGAAGAAGGTAGTAATCGATGCTTGTCCAAAGTGTAGCAGAGGGTTCATCGATCCTGTTGCCCTCGTCGAGCATATTGAGAAGGATCATGGTGGTACTTCAAGAGCTTGAGCATACATATCAGAAAATCCGATTGCCCTTGTCCAGCATATTGAGAGGGATCATGGTTGTACATCAAGAGCTTGAGCATACATATAGGCGTCCAAAGTGTAGCATAGAATTTATTGATCCTATTGCCCTTGTCAAGCATATTGAGAGGGATCATGGTGATATTACAAGAGCTTGAGCATACGTATCATAAAATGATATTGAGAGGGATCATGGTGGTACTTCAAGAGCTTGAGCGGACACAAAGGATTTATTGATCCTGTTGCCCTTGTCGAGCATATTGAGAGAGATCATGGGATACTTCAAGAGCTTGAGCATACGTATCGGCATCCAAAGTGTAGCAGAGGATTTATCGATCTTGTTGCCCTTGTCAAGCATATTGAGAGGAATCATGGTGACACTTCAAGAGCTTGAGCATACGTATCAGAAAATCTTATTTGTTGAGACCGTTCATACGTCAGAAGGTACGAAGGCCATCTCGAGCACAACTTTAATTGTTTCATCGAACTATACCATAATAGAATAGATGGTTGTGACTACCTTTTGCGAGGAGTCATTGAACACAACTAACTTTACTGAGTGTCTAATATAAAAGGCACGTAAAGTTTTTTTTAAAGTGTCTAATAAATTCTTAAACTTTTAATTTTAAAGTTGTTTTTTACGTCTGAAAGAAGAAAATCGAACGTTGAATCCATTGTAAAATACTCTTGAACTCTAAAAATAATACTAAAAAGCTTGAAAATCATTTATGAGGTTAAAAATAATATTAAAAAGTTCGGAAATCATTTATGAGGGAGGATAGATAGCTTTAATGGTAAGATTTTTTTAATAAAGGTAAATAGCGTTATTTATTAAATTTAATGGATATTTTAAAACATAAAGGGTAATATTGACATTTTTGAAAATTTAGGGATATTCCGTACAAAATCAAGAGGATATTTTTATTAATTTAGAATTTTAAAACTTACGACTAAATAGAAATATACCCTCAATCTTGCGCAAAGGACGAATTTACCCTTAATTCAATTATGTTAAATTTACGTGCAATTATGTTGGGCCGCGTTTTGGGCCTAACAGCCGAAATCCGAGTACAAACAGAAAAACCCTCAAATGGTAAGACTATAAAACCTCAAAACCATTGCTTGGCCGCACCTTTATACACTTTGCCGGTGCGAATCTGAATCCGAACTCTGCAAAATCGTTGGCCGCTGGTTAGTTTCTTTAAGTCTTTTCGATTCTGTGGAGTTGAAGAAGAAGAATTTCTTTGGTTTTATGTTTTTTTTTTCCTTTTTTGATCCATTTTCAATATGAGTTCATATTCTATTGTATGTTTGCTTAATGCGTTGCTATTTTATGTAGTGATTGTTGATTGTCGATTTTTGTATTTGTTCTTTCTTTTGCACGCCGAGATCGTAATCGTCATCCAATGTTTGGAATTTGATTCGGAGATTTTAATTCGTTAGGAGTTTGTCGGTGGTTTATAGTTAGTACTTGATAATGTGAAACACCAATGTTACGTTAGCGAGAGAGAGCGATGTTGAGCATAGCTATACTAGGGTTTTATAGTGCATATCAACTCGAATATTTGGAGATCGGGGATAAATCAATGTAAAATTATTGAAGAAAAGAGGGAAAGTCGAGCTAAGGACTTGGTAGGAGTTACGTGTAAAGCTCCGTAAAGTGTAGCAAAGCATTATTAGATTAGGATTTTGCCTGCTTCAGGCTGATTTTAGATTATCGCTTGATTGTTAGTAGAATGAAGAACAAATTTCAATTCTTGTTGACTATAAATTTCATCAACTATGATAAAATAATATATGAACAAGCCGGAAATCCTGAAGCCTTAGAGCTAATATAATCTCGCTATAGGACATTTATAAAATGAGAATTGTGATTCAACAATAGTTTTGAGGATGCACACCAATTGGAAGCAGTATTAGATCTTCCTTAGAATTTCAACAATAGTTTTGAGGATGCACACCAATAGTTTCCTTATTGGCATTCAACTTTCTGCCATTAAATCATTGTCTCTCTTTGCTTGAGAAGAGCATAGCAGGTGCAATCCGATTATCCCAACAGCCAATCAAAGCACCATTTGAACCATATAATTTTATAGGGTTTCTCTCGACACTTTATAGGAGTAGTGGGCAATAATGTTTACTTGTTTTCCCAGCTACTTGTACTAATGTACACCAGTTGGAGATATATTTTACCATGTCTGTTGTACCTACACTTCACAGTTCGCAAGGCCATTGGTACTTAAATTTTGTTGGAACTTTCTGCTCCAAGATGGCCTATAGGAGGCCACATGATTGGCTTGAGATGGTTAGGAGTTCTCTGATTAATGTTGAGGAACTACTAGGTGATGATGCTTATTTATCTGTCCATCGTTTTCCATTAAGTTTAATCTGACAGAATATGAATTTTTGTTTCTAATTATCTGACAATGTACCTCTAGAAGTTGATTTAAAGATTACTATTTTATCTTGTAGTTGAGAAGTATTCTACTGGCATACATTTGGAGGAATGCTCTTTTTGTTTTTCCTCTAGTTGTATCTCTTAGAAAATTTGACGATGATCTGTGCTTTTGTTGGGGGTTCTTCACTTTCTTTTCTTCAGCCTGATCCATTGTTGTTGCTACGTGTAATCTGTAATATATGTGGTCATTTGTTATATTAAATATATAACTTGAAGGGACTTATCTATGTCTATAATTTCCAGGTATCTCTCAGATCGCACCTCTATTCATCTAAGAAATGGAATCCCAGATCAAACATGCTGTGGTGGTCAAAGTAATGGGCCGAACTGGATCGAGAGGGCAGGTGACTCAAGTGAGAGTCAAGTTTCTCGACGATCAGAATCGTTACATCATGAGGAATGTCAAGGGACCTGTAAGGGAAGGTGACATTCTTACCCTTCTGGAGTCTGAGAGAGAAGCAAGGAGATTGCGTTGAGGACATCGTCCCGATCTTGGTTCTCTGTGTTGCAGCTACTGGTGATTTGATTATCCTTCTCATTACACACTCTAGATATAGAATGATGTCTCTTATCAATTTTCCCTCTCTTGGTTACTAGCATGTTATCTCAGTTCGATTCTAGGGTAGAATGTTTGAACTTTATTTGGATTGTCAAACAATTTTAGTATTCTAATTTAGGGTGTCTACGCAAAGGGCCTTGTTTATTTGGACTTTTCATTTGTATTAAATTACTGGTTGAAAAATTTGGATTTTTGAAGATTGTCTTTTTGTTTGAACTCATTTTGTTATGTGCGTAATTATGCTTGTTTGATGGTTAGGTAATTTCTTTTGTATAAATGTTTTTCATATCTCATTTCTTTTGTTTATTTTTTTTTTTTTATAAAAAAAATGTTTGAACATATTTTCAAGATCTTTGTGAATTAGGTCATTTAGTGGTTTGATTTGAAGTGTTTTATTGAATTTTTTGTAAACTTATTACTTGATTCATCCATGGGCTCAATGTAAACCCTAAACCCTATACATATCATAAAACAAATGCGATAATAATTCTATTTGAAACTTATAATAAAATATAAACATTTAATGTGGTAATAATTCATTTGGAACTTGTAATAAAATTAACCTTAGTCCTACCAACCAATGTGCAAAACTTATAAACCACAAATGTCCCGTACTAACCCATATGCTACTAAATGAAAATGCAACTAACCTATAGGCATGTGTCATGTGTCATCGCGGAGAGCTTGCCTTTACTTTTAAAATAGAGTAACAAATGGTTTGGGTATTTTAAGAAATACTTAGTAGTGTACTTAATTTTCCTACACATGGTCCACACGGATGAGTATAAACCCACCAATCAGTTCACACATCTCCTAGGCCCTTTTCTGATCGGACAAGTATTCTTTGGTAGCTGTTGATACCGAATGCCCGTGAGGAGTAGCGACCGTTGTATCCGTACTATCATGAAGGAATAGAGGTATCCCCGATGCATGAACACACAATAATGCATGAGGTCCCAACATTTTTCTATTTGCATTATCATTTAATGCAGCCCTGCTAGCATCTTCTTCATATCATATCATTTCTCATAACGTTTATCATTTATCATAACTTTCATGCATAAGCCGAGGTCGTATTTCATGCTAGTTCATCGTATTTGCATGTCAATCATATCATATCATTCATGTCACACATATCCTTCAGCTCAGTCGGCTTAAACAGCTCGACTCGACTTGCGGCTTAGTTAATTTTTTTAAACGAGATGCTCACAATTTCGGCTCATATACTAACCCTTTTAAAAAATATAAATTATACCAAAAACAGGAATTAATATACGTTCAATGAATATCTAAACATGGAAAAATGAAATTAAAAAGTACAAGAAATATAAAAACGTTCCAATAATAAAATGGTAAAAGTGGAATAAAAATAGTGAAAAAAACATCCAAAAATAGACGATCGTGAAATATTTGTAAAATTTTTCAATAATTTCTGCATTTTAAATGCCGATTGCTCCAGCTTCAATCGTCAGATTTTCTTTTCACATTTTCGGATTCAAAATTCTCGACTCATTCTCATCTCCTCATCACATCTACGGCACGCCCTGCTGCCGATCTCTCCTTCCCCGTCGATCTTCTTCCTATTTCCCAATCTCTCTGTCTCTCTGAGGTTCATCGCTTGGAAAATCGAATCAATCTGACGGTTCGTTGATTCAGCAGCTCAATCGGTACGTCTGTGTCTCTGTCTTTCTCTCAATCATGGCTTCTGTGCTCATTTTAGATGGAATTTCATGGCGGATGCTGTTCAAACGTGTCTTAGTACTTCTAGCGTTTCGTAGAATTGTGAAACATGGAGGTATATGTTCGTACTATAATTGATCATTGTTATTAGGTCACTCCTATGTCTTTTTTTTACGTGTTTTAATTTGATTCCTTTGCGTTCTCTAGTTTTCATTTTTCGGTTTTGTTGCAACGCGATTTGCTTAATGTTCATGTGCATAATTTTTTAATATTTGATGATTTATTCATGGTTGCTTTGGCTGTAATTGTGAATTTTCTTGCTGAATTACTTTTGAGCAAAACTTATCACGATCCAATCCAATTCTATGGGGTTTGGTTTGATAAATTGGGAGATTGTGTCCTGAAATGGCTTCAGATTGATTCTTCCCAAACTTATAGGCTTTCATGAGTCTGTTGAAGATTGTTCGGAGGGAGTTCCACATAGGCTAATTTAGAGGTTGATCATGGATTTATATGTAAGAAATACTATCTCCACGAGGCCTTTTGTAGAGATCCGTGATTCTTAACATGGTATCAAAGTCATGCCCAGAATTTAGCCATGTAAGTAGAATCCTCAAATGTCATAACAAAGAAGTTGTGAGCCTCGAAGGTATAGTAAAAAAGTGATTCAAGTGTCTGAACAAATGGTGTACTTTGTTCGAGGACTCCAGAGAAGGAGTCGAGCCTCGATTAAGGGGATTCTAATCGGGGGCTTTTTCAGGTCTCAGAGGAGGCTCTACGGTGTACTTTTTTTGAGAGGATTGTTGGGAGAATAGTCCCACATTTTAGAGGTTAATCATGGGTTTATAAGTAAGAAATACTATCTCTAATGGTACGAGGTCTTTTGGGAGAACCGAAAGAGAACTTATGCTTAAAGTGGACAAATATTATACCATTGTGGAGAGTCCTTGTCATTCCTAACACTACACGCAAAATGTTTCCTTGTCAAATCTGTATATTTTCTGAAATTTCAAACTTATAACCTTTGATGTAATTCTGTGGTTCATTTGATTTGGGAACATATTAGTCCATTGCAGTTAGAAGATGGCAGCAAAATACATAGTAGTTTCTACACTTGGAGCATTTGCATTTGCTTATGTTTCTGATATTCTTGTTGCTGACAAGAAAATATTTGGAGGTAACAATCGGTCCTCATCATTTGGCTTTGCAGTTTCTTGCTCTATTGTCTTAATTGCTTGCTCTTTTCAATGGATTTCTTGTTCAGGAACAACTCCGAGTACTGTTTTAAACAGCGAGTGGTGGGAAGAAACTGACAAGAAATTCCAAGCATGGCCTCGTACCGCCGGCCCACCTGTGGTCATGAACCCCATCAGTCGCCAGAATTTCATTGTTAAAACCCGCTCTGAAGCTTAAATGTTGCTTTGGTTGTCTATTTATACAATTTTGAGTGGATAATTCTGCTTTTGGAAGTACTTCTTAGTCATTAAGCAGTTCTAACCTGCCTTCATATTTGATGAGGGGAACTGAAGGAATTGTTGTTGAGCTGATAGCCTTTTTTATTTTTCCTGTTTAAGCTGCATCATTGGCTTGTTTGTTATGTTGATGGTGTCAGGATGTTGATTCTGAATAAATCAGTGAAAAGGAAACTTTCCTTCATGTCTGTCTCTTTCAGATGATGCAGAATGATCCCTCTTCTTATTTATTTACTTTGATTTAAAGCTCCATAGACTTTGATTTATAAGCTCCATAGTGTCTCATTGTGAGATCCCATCTTAGTTAGAGAGGTCGAAGAAGGAAGCATTCCTGGTAAAAGTGTGAAAATCTCTCCCTAATCGACGTGTTTTAAAAATCCTCCGATACATGGGTTGAGACGAAATATTGGCACATCTGTGTCGTCCAGTATTGTCCTTGAAATATCCCTTTCAAAGGAAGTTGCTAGTCTTGGAACACTCGCTCACCCTGTGAAACATGCATGTGCCACAAGGTAGTTCACTTAGGCCACAGAGCTGAGGGGTGATGGAGAGTCGACACCATGCCCCCCTCCAATACTACATTTTGAAGCATTCTCAATCCTTCTCGAGTAGACGTCTTTTTGGCGAGCAAACATACGTCCTCGTGCATAGTCCATCGGGTTTTCGATTGACACCAAATTTAGTCAGCTTTCATTTTCATATAGACGACTAAATTCTGAGTCGCTTGCCAAAACTCATCGAAACCAAACCTTGACTTTTGAAGTTATGGTCTAGGGCCCTATCCGACCCTCTTTGAGCTTGTCTTCTACACTCTGTATCGTTTCATTCTCTCGAACTTTATGTATGTCTTGAATTATCTTCCATGCACACTCTTGGTGTATTAGATGATGCACCATCCTCCTCATAGGCGCCACTTGAGGGTCGCCCCTTGTCTATCTTAACGTGTGGGGTCACAACCTACATTGCCTTAGCGAGATTCTAACACCAACGAGGATTAGCCCCTTATGGAGGTGGATTGTGAGATCCCACATCGATGGAACAAATTATTTCGGGTGGAAACATTAATGGAAACATCTCTCTAATGTACACTTTATTATGTTTACTTCATTGCTCAAATAATTTCTCAATCTCACTGGAGCAACTCAACTCCCAACTATCTGTATTCAACTCAAAGGGGATTACACAAGAACCATTATGTAATAATATACTTTCCTTTGTCACAAATCTGGTTGGTTGTGATCAGAACACAACCAGACTACACAGTCATGTATGGACACTCACAAAGCAATTGCTTTAGTCGAGGACCCGAGCTCAATCTCCATTTCGAGTCGTTTTTCGCATCAAGCACGTTGAAAACTCTACGAACGCAGGAGCCCATCAATTTTGCTTGATCTCCATAAGCATTTCTACCACTTTCTTCATTTTTGGCCTTTTGGCTGGTATGCTATCAGTACAGAGCAATGCAATCTTGAGAGCTGCAAGCATCTCCTTCCTCCACCCGAACGACACCGTGCTCAGCCGGGAATCGAGTATCTGTTCGGGTGTCTCGCCTCGTGAAGGAGCACTAAGCACCCACTTCACCAAATCTACTCCTTCACCAAACTCCTCATCCACTGGCATTCTGGTCGTGAGGATCTCGAGCAAAACGACACCATAGCTATAAACGTTTCCCGGGGCCGTAACTTGCATCGTATACGCATATTCTGAACCGAGAACAAACAGTTAGAACTTAGAATCGAAAACTTAAAAGACAGTTCGATTCGAGCAAGTACCTGGTGGAATATAACCAAATGAACCTGCAATGGCACTAATACTAGCAGTGCCTCTTGATGGATCTAAAAGTTTTGATATCTCAACCTCTCCAACCAAAGGCTTGAAGTTTGCATCCAAGAGAATATTGGATGATGAAATATCAAGATGGATTATAGCCACATGATGAAGGAAAGCTAGCCCTTCGGCTGCGCCAACGGCGATCGAAAATCTTGTGGGCCAATCCGGTTCGTATTCAGGTTGTTTCGTTGACTCGTGAAGAAGCCGAGCCAATGTCCCGTTCGGTAAGTAACGATGAAGCAACAGAGCCACGTCTTCGTATATTACATACCCAATGAGTTGCAAAAGATTAGCATGGCTCAGTTTGCCAAGCTTTTCGAGCTCTCTGATCATCTTACTTTGATGATGAATGATCGTCTTATCCATCGATTTTAGTCTCTTAACTGATACGATCATCCCCGAAGGCACAACCGCCTTATAAACAGTACTAAACGTGCCAAATATGAGCTTGTTTGAATCCTTAAACGTTGCTTTCACAACCGCATCGAGATCTAACTCCTGTCGGAGATTATCGTCAAAGACATTTCCAGCTATTATGGTTGGATGATCCTTGATGATTTCATCATCTACAGCTCTTGAAGACTTTCCTGCCTTTTCTTGCTTTTCTTTCATCACAAAAAGTAAAACAACTATACTAACCGATATGAAAACAGCCAGCCCGGAACCGATGACAGCTAGTATGATCTTGTACGAGACCTTTTGATTGTAATCTCGAGTGTACGAACCAATCGAATTTTTACACGTAACGCTTAATGGAGCCCCGCAAAGGCCTTTGTTTCCCAGAAAACTGGAACTTGCAGTTTTCTGGAATGGAACAAAGAAAGGAATCGAACCAGTAAGTAAATTATTCGAAAAATTCACGTCTATCAAGCTTAACATGCCCTTAAGCTCAGACGGGATATCGCCCGAGAGACGATTGTTCGATAAATCTAAAGAAACCAGTTTATCAAGTTTCCCCAACTCTGTAGGCACCGGTCCGTTTAGACGATTGAAGCTCAAGTTCAAAGCTATCTGTAAGTTCTTAATACGACCGATCTCGGAAGGGACGCTTCCAGTTAGGTAGTTACTACCGAGTCGTAAGTCGAGAAGCTTTGTACATTTTCCAATCTCTTTAGGTATCTCTCCTTTTATTGAGTTCTGTTCCAAAAGTAAGTACTGCAATCTTGATATATTACAGATATCTGAAGGAATAGTACCATTAAATCGATTGCTGCTTAAATCGAGCTTGTTGAGATTCTTGCACCGGAGCATCGATCTAGGAATGTCGCCATACAAGCTATTACCGGAAAGAATAAGCTCCTGCAGATTCATCAGCTCTCCGAGTTCATGAGGAATCACCCCGGTGAACTCGTTCGAGGCTAGATTCAGCAGAGTGAGATTAGAGCACCGTGAAATCCAAGACGTAATGTCGCCCGAAAGGTGATTGTTATCAACTTCAAAGTAAGCAAGGCTACTGACATTGCCAATGGCTGGAGGTACCGAACCAACGAGATCATTGTTCCCGATTCGAACGCTCGTAAGGCTTTTACAGTTACCTATCTCTTCAGGAAGATAGCCGGTCAATCTGTTTTGTGTAAGAACCAAAATCTCAAGCTTCCCCGAACCGAAAATACTTCGAGGAATCGAGCCTTCAAGCCTATTGGTATGAAGATTCAACACATGGAGCTCGGAAACCGAACCGAGATTATCAGGAATTACACCAACAAAGTCATTCTCATAAGCTGTAAAAACTCTTAGATGGCTCAAATTTCCAACCCAACTTGGAATTGAACCATTCAACCTATTGTTAGAAACTTGAAAATCCTCCAACTTCTTTAATCCTTGAAGCTCATTAGGAATTTCTCCCACCAGCTGATTATTGGAAAGGTTCAATGATTTGAGGTTCTTGAGACCACCAAACTCGGGCGGGATCGAACCATCAAACTTATTCAAAGAAAAATCAAGGAATTCGAGCTCGGATAAGGTTGCGAAACTCGACGGGACGTCGCCGTGGAAGTCATTGTAGGATAGATCAAGCCATTTCAGAGCTTTGAGCTTAGAAATCAGTGTTGGATTACCTCTAAGAGAATGACCTGAAAGATCAAGAGCTTCAACCATGGAATGATTCAAACCACAATGAACACCTTTCCAAGAACAGTACTCAGAGATGTTGGAGCTCCACTCAAGAACTTGAAGCTCCTCTCTAATGGCGGACATGGTAATTTCATCATCAAGAACAGCTCCCAGAAACTGGGAGTTTAAAAGAATTCCAAGAAAAATGGAGAGATAACAACACAAAAAGGCCATGAAAACCGCCTTTTGAGATCTTCCCTTTTACTCAAAACTCTATAAAAAACACATTTCAACGAACCTTCTCAGTTTCCCACATAAATCAGTTCAATAAACAGAGAATTTCTAAGAAAACCCATCAAAGGGAGAGCAGATTTAGAAACCCCCCAACAAAACAGTCGATTAAACAGAGTAATCCGAGGAACATTCCAGACAAGACAACATGGGAAACCCCAAAAAGACAATCAAACGACAAAGAAGAAGAGAGAAAGAGAGGATTAGAAGAGAACCTGGAGGAGCAATGGAGGATAAGTTGATACCCACATGAAATCGATCAACAGGAAGATGAAAAAGAACAGAGAAAATGACATTCTGAGTGTTTTTTTTTTTTTTTTTTTTTTTTTTTTTTTTTTTTTTTTTTTTTTTTTTTTGGTTCGGAAAGGGGAAAAGGGGAAAGGGAAGTGGAAGCAGAGAGTGTTAGTGTATGTATCATGGGACAAGATGCTTTATTGCTATATTATTTCAGTATATTCAGCTTCTGTCTTTTGGATTTTCTCTACTAAATTCTCCATTTTTTTACATGGATTTTGGGAAATGAATCACTAAATAGGACGAGATCGGAAACGAAGCATTTAAGTGTATGGACACTTATCTTTAACAGACGTGTTTTAAAACAGTGAGACTAGCGACAATACATAGAATATTTTATGAAAAACCTTGTCGAGATGAAAATTGAAATAAGAGGTAGGGATTGGAAAGCTTTCTCGTCTTTGTTATATGTGAGATCCTATATCGATTGGAGAAAGTAACGAGTGTCAACAAGAACGCTGAGCTCCGAAGGGGGGAGAGGATGAATCATGAGATCTCACCTCAATTGGAGAGGAGAACAAAACATTCTTTCTAACGACGTGGAAATCTCTCTTTATCGATACGTTTTAAAAACCTTAAGGAGACCGGAGGGAGAGAGCCCTAACATTATATTCCTTCCATGTGCAAGAGAGAAGGAAGATAATGTAAAGGAGGCAACCATGTGAGAATGAAAAAAATGACCCATCTCTTACCTAAAACATCATTTCAATGTGTATGAACAAAACAACTAGG